CCTCCCCCTGGGCCAACCAGTCGGAGTCCAAGCCTTCCCGGATCCGAGCGACTTTGTCATACAGATATTGTGCAAAATCCTCGGCCCTCCCCTCCAGAGGATCCCCCCTCCCCTCAGTTGGAGGAGAGAGCGGGTCACCCTGAAGAGGGCGGCCGGGCGATTATCTGATGACGCGATGAGCGAGGAATAGTAGTTAGCCATGGGGTACTTTCTCAAATACTTAGTTGAAATCAAACTATGTTATTAATATTATGTCCCCACAATGTACTAAAGAAGTTAACCAATAAAAAAGTTGCTAAGATTCATTTTTAACAATCCATGCTGACCACTAGTAGCTGCTGCATTGTCTCCAAGGTCCTTATAAAACAATCCTTTTATGATCTCTTATAGAATCTTCCTGATTATTGCTGTCAGACTGAATGATTTATAATTCCCTGGATCAACATCCCCATTTCCCCCAACATCATATTTGTAGACTGGGACAATATTTACATTTCCCCCCAAAAACTAGCACTTCATCAGCTCTCCAGAATTTTCATTAAGGTTCAGTCAGACTATTACCAACTTATTTCAGTGTTCTGTATGCAAATCATTTGGCCTTGGAGATTTAAACCAATTCAGAATATATACTTATTTTTAAGTATCAATCCTGTCCATTTATCTAGTTCTTTACAACTGCATGCTGGAAAATACACCCTTTGCTGAAAGGGAAATGGCAAAAATATGAAAATCTCACAATGCAATTTGCTTTTAACCTACTTATGTTTTACAACAACACCAAAGTGGCATGCTTGCAGCTGAATCATAGCACATAAAAAATTTCCAACACTGTGACTACTAACATTGTGTGGTACAGAAAGTTAAGAAAATGTTTGTTTACTGTTTTGGTCATGATCTCTTGTGAAACCCCTAGTAGCTTCTCATGAAATCTCAGGATTCTCTGGACCCTCAGATGAAAATGGCTGTACAGTACTAGACATCTTTTTTACTATATCAGTACTCTCTATTTTTTCTGGTATTCTCTCTATTAGAGAATAAAATAGAATATAATTCTTTATTGGCCAAGTGTGATTGGACACACAAGGTGCATAAGTTCTCAGTGTACCTATTAGCATTTCTCTGTCTCAAATAACATCTAATAATTTCTACTTAATTTCCTATTGGTGAGCACCCCAAAGATTAAAGCTCTCCTAAGAAGTTGCCATGTTTTGACCACACACATTTAAAACCATTCTTATGAATTGCAGTCTTCCCATACCAGTAGATTATCATTCTAACAAAGCAGATCAAGGCCTCAAAAAACAAATGTCTTCTGTTGTCATTGGTTGTATAGCCAATTATAGATTTTCCCTTTTCAAGCGTCTTCTAGGGACTAGTATAATGGATGAGATACTGCTTCTGTAAAGCTTCCATCTTAAATTTTCGATGTTCCTGCTGATATAGTTGTTATTTACGTATTATTTGTCACCATGTATATTAGGAGAAAGATAAATTCATCAATGGACCTAAGTAATTTCTCAAAGTTGTTTTGTCAAAACTCTGTGTCTGATTCCTGGTAAACAAACACAGTTCACAAGGCAATGGGCCTTATTGGTAATGACAATTACCTTAACTCTTTGGTAATGACAATTACCTTAACTCTTCCCTTTGGGTTCTTTCAGAGTGCAGAGTTTAACTTCTCTGCTCTATATGGATCTGGTCAGACTCCCTGACTCAAACTTATGAATGGCTACCCAACACTCCATAGATTTTTTTATTGCATGCTACAATAGAACTACGTAAAACAACCAATTTCCCCCTATCAATATGAGAATATAGCTCCCTCTTATGTCTACTAGAATTTTCCGCATTTCCTCTGGTTTAAGGCATAACTTGCTTTGCAGTTCTCAGCTAGGGGACAGTTGGTTATTGAGGTAACTGGCATTTCTATCCCCATGTATCTTTCCTAGATCCATTAATTCTGCCCTGCAATGTCTCTCTTTCTTCCACTGAAGATTTGGATCCTGTTTATATTGTAAGAGTGATGACATTCAGCGATACAGAATATTCTCTAAATGTTTTGCTGCTAGTAGTCATTTTATTTACTGGCTTGTCTCTTTTTATCTGATTCTCTTCCAATGGAAAGTTGCTTTCTCTTCCTGCAATACATATTGGATTATTCTCAGACAGGAAAATCACAAGGACACAAGCACTGCAGAACATAACTGCAGACTCCTGTTTTGTTTTCACTTTTCTTCCTTAAGATACAAGTAATCCTTGTTTAGCATCTACCTTGTTAATGATTGTTTAAAATTATGACAGTGATGAGAAAGTAACTTTATGACATGTTTGAGCTTAGCAGTTCAGTAAAGCAGTGCAGTAAAGGAAAGCTGAAATAAGATCATAAGCATACCCCCAGTTTCACTTAGCAATTTTCACTGCACCATGAGTAGAAAACTGTTATTTTTCTTTTTTCTGTTCTCAGCTTCTCAATTTAGTCAAGAATGTTCATTTATAAAGAAATTCCATAAGGTTTCCCATGCCAAATTTCACTGTTAGTTCTTGCTCAATGACATTACTCCCTGAAATGTGGCTGTCTCTTATATTCCTCCTACATCATCTACTTCATCAGCAGAAAGCAATCCTTTGATTATTTATTAAATGTGTATGCCACCTGACTCCCAAAACCCCTGGGAGATACCTACAACAGGCAATTTGTGGCTCTCAGTAAACACCTTTGCAGTCAGCAGCTATTCAGGAGACAACTATTCCTTTCTCACAACTGACACACAATCTCTCAGAATATATAGCTTCTCTGGTTATTCTCCTCTTTTTTTATTTCTCCTTTGAACTCCACTAGCAGATTTGCTTTCTGTTTGCTCCCTGTTCTTTAATCTAATCATTGTTGTTGAACATGTAGATCTTCTTTTTGAGTATTTTGAATTGATCACAATATCAATAACTGTAGATCTCTCATGTGTGGGATATAGCTAACTTTATTATTGCTTTTAATACAGTGAAATGGTAAATCTACACCCACTTTTCAACATTGGATTTATGATATTTTATTTGTCAATATTTCAATTGTGGTTTTTTATTTTTTTAAAAAAATCACAAATGAACAAAGAAGAAAAGTTTTGAACAAGTTACCTTGTTTTTGATATACATTTCCAAAGGGTTTAATTTTCTTTTTTCTTTAATTTTAATTATGTCATACTATTAATAAAATTGCATGTATATATATATTTCTATTAGTAAGTTTTGATATCATAAAATAATGTTAAAATATTTTTTCTATTCTCTGTTATGGATTCGGGGCAGATGTGTGCTTCTTGGACATGCAGAAAGCAACATAGTTGACTTCACATTGCTTGACATCAAAATAACTTGGGCCATTCAAGGACACACAGGATATCTTTACAGAATGACATGCTCACAAAGCAGAGATTAAATAGCCATCCCTCTCCCCACTCATCATAGGCAGACAGTTCATCAATTATGTTTGGTCAGATACCAATGAACACATTCAGGTCTCTATCATAGCACAAACATTGGGATATAACTGGGAAATGTTCTTAGGAAAGTTTCTGAGTTGAGTATTCTACTGACTTATATATTATAATATATTTATACATTATATAAAATTATATATTACATTATAACATTTTAACCACTAAATATGAGATTTAAACTTTTTTGACTCTGTGGAGGTACAAGATCTAGTAACTCAAACATACCCTTGTCTGCACCCTATTTTATTATTATTATTAACAGAACTATCTAATCTGCAAAAACAGTAAAGATAGATGTGCTGCATTGAAGAAAATAAGTTCCTCATTTATACTCACACTGTACGTTGAGTTGCACCAGGGCTTCTCGGGGTCTAATGTTGAAGCCATTGTATCTGGCTGTCTGGCATTTGTAAATCCCACTCATTTTTTGAGTCACCTTCTCAAAATGCAGCTTCCCATCATTTGACTCCACTGTCATGGTTCCCGAAGGCATAGGAGCCTCTTTATCAACTCTGGACCAGATGATAGGAGGTTTGGGTTTCCCTCGGACTTCACACTGTAACTCTGCTCTCGAATCTTCACGGACAGTAATGATGGATTGACCCTTGGGCACCATGATCGTTGGAGGCACTATTGGGAAAAAGATGACAAGAAAAGAACCATTATTCAACAGCAATGTTTAAGAATTAGCTCATTGGAGTGATATGTGTATGTAAAAGATTGCTGAAGCTGAAGTAAAGGCATATTTAATTCTTCGACCTTGTTATTTTAAATTATGCTGATTCAGTCAATCACCATCATTATTTATTCTGTATACTACCATAGAATTTGGCTTCTGCCTAGCATAAGAAAAAAGCCTTCTTCATCCTGCTATTCCAATCTTAAAAAAAGAGGAGAAAGAATCCATCTAACTACATACCAGTCAGCTTAACATTGTCATTTGTCAAAACTCTGGAACAGATTATTAAGTGATCAATTAGACAAAAATGCATTGCTTGGCAAAACCAATATGAGGTTATCAAGAACAAATCACGACAAGCCAATGTGATATTTTTGACAGAGTGAGTAGTTCAGTTAACTATGAAAGTCCAGCAGCATGCACCTTGAGTTCAGCAAAAATTCAACAATATTTTTCATGAGATTCTACTGTGGACTATGGCAAAATATGGGCTGGACTATGGTAGTTTTAGATTGATACAGAGCTGGTTGAACAATTGTATCCAATGAGGATATGTCAATGGCTACATTAGCAGAAATAATAGTGTCAAGATCAAAAGAAATCATAGTCCATTTATAACACTGGTGTCAAACTCAATCGCGTCATGTGAAGTATTGTGACGTATCCGCCATTGCGGAACAGGGGCGGGCATGGTCTGCACGTGACACATCTGGCCCACGGGCTGCCAATTTGACACCCCTGATTTAGAACATACCTAGAATACTATATTCTGTTTTGGTCACTACATTTTAAGAAGATATAAAAAAATTGGAGGAGTTCCAATGAAGATCTAGAATGATAAGTGATATGAAATAAAAAACTTATTGTTATGATGTTTGATCAATTAGTCAGCCAGACATTTAGACTTCTATCTGCAGGTCTTTGTATATTGTGATTTTCTCTTCTGCTGTCTCCAGGCACTTCAACTTCCACTATTCCAACTTTGGTTTCCTTATCAACAATTTTATGTCTGGGATGTTACGTGGCTGGGGTATGTCTGTTTGCATTCTAAAATCCCAAAGCCCTTTAGCTTCTTCATTTCCTAATACTTTGTCTATTTTGTGGTCTCACCAGTTATTTCTTGGTGTTGGTGCATGGTATTTCTTGAAGATATTCCAATGCCCCTTTGTCATGCTGTTGTTTGTAGTCAATCTATAAGATCTTCTTGTGGCACCTAACTAGGTGGTCCATTGTTTGTTAAGTTTCTTTGCAGAGTTGGCATTTGCTGTTTGTTTCTGTCTTTTCAATTCTGCCTTTGTACACATTTGTTCTTGAGGCTTTGTCTTGTGCAGCCAGAATTACCCCTTTGTCTTTTTCTTTAACTTGCTCTTAGCCACTGACAGGTCTCATTATCTGCTTTGCCAGCTAGTTTTTTTTAATATTTTGGCAATATAATACTTTGCCTTGCCATGCCATGTCTCTTTTCTATTCTTCATTTTATTATTGTAACATTATATAACAATTATACTGTAGTATAACATTATAAAATACATTATAATAAATTATTATAATGTATAATAATAATATACATTATAATGTGTAATAATAGTCCAACTCCAGTGGACTCCAATGGGTAAGGAACTCCTCTAGATGGAGGTTTTAGTCTGGAGAAGAGAAAAGATTGTGAAGGCATGATAGCAGAAATAGATGATCTTCAAGGTACCTACCAACCCCCGCATTTCTATAATTGAAAATGTGATAAAATTTTGTCACCTTATGAAGCAGTCTGTAACTTGTTCCCATTGGTTCAAATCCAAATGACTAGCATACAAAGAATGAATTTGTTCCATCATCTTTGTGATAGTTCCATAAAAATTATTGCTTCTAAATCTTACTTTCCTCAATTCCTTCAACTTTCAGAACTTGTCTTCATAAGCTTCACCATCTTCTTTGCCCTCTTTTTAAGATTATAATTAGGGGATACAGATTCTTCAGGGCTGCCTACTCCTATTTGTTGATCTCCAAATATATTTGAACTACAACTTTTTTTCCCCACTAGAAATTCCGGCAATTGTATACCCCGGAAAACTGGTAGGACATCTGTTGGGAAAGATTATTGTAGGGAATATCTGTACTAAAATATTATGGAAACTAATAATAATTATACTTGATTCTTTGTGAAGTCCTCTTTCTCTCTTCAAATATTTTTATGTAATACTTTTACATTTTGAAGTGATTTAAAAATGCAGTGTAAAAGTTCCAAATTTATTTTTATCTGCATGACCAAATAATGTCTGCATGTAACCCATAAATGTAAGAGGGCCAAGAGAGAGTGTGATGATTTTAATCACACAAAAATATAGCGCATAGCTAGCTTAAAGGTATATTTATGTAGGTCTAGCATCCAGTATCTCATCAGTTATATCACTAGGCAATAAGAAGGTGAATTTTCAATTTGCAGGCCTTCTGTGGGCTATGGAATCTCATCAAATCCTCTCTTATAGGGTGTGAAGATTGAGCTGCACCCACATGGCTCAGTACTGCCAGCATATGCTCACCTGGCAGGAGACAATTTTCTTTATGGGAAAAATGTGTAAATTGCATTTGAAAAGTTTTTAATTAAAAGCAGATTTCTGGGACCCTTATGCTGGATGACCTGCTTGCTAAATCTTACGAGAGAAAGGATATTTAGAAAACCAGGGAATAAATATACAGTACCACCATTTCTATCTGTGGTCAAACTAGGGGAAAAATCCACACACTGCAGTACAAACATAGTAAACCTTTTTTCAAAACCCATGAAAAATTTTATAAGGGTGGAAACCTTATATGGACTCTTTACTGAGAAAAAAAATAAGAATGAATTGCTGATCTTAGGATCTGGTGATTAAAATTCAGGCTATGGAGATGATAATTACTTGATAGAAAGAAGTGTGGAAGGCACAGTTGCATGCTTTTCTTTTCTTTTTCAACTTTTTTTTCTTGTACTTCTAGTTCTTACTTTCTATGTTCTTGTTTGTTTTGTGTGTGTGTGTGTGCGCGTGTGTATTTACAGTTCCATACTCCATTCAGATTACTTCTGAATTTGACAATAATAATAATAATAATAATAATAATAATAATAATAATAATAATAATAATAATAATAATAATAATAATAATAATAAAGTTGGAAGGGACCTTGGAGGTCATCAAGTCCAACCCCCTGCTCAGGCAGGTAACCCTATACCATTTCGGACAAATGGCTGTCCAGTTTCTTCTTAAAAACTTCCAGTGTGGGAGCATTCATCGCTTCTGGAGGAAGGTTGTTCCACTGGTTAATTGTTCTAAGAGTCAAGAAGTTTCTCCTTAGTTCTAGGTTGCTTCTCTCTTTGATCAGTTTCCATCCGTTGCTTCTTGTCCTGCCTTCAGGCGCTTTGGAAAATAGCTTGACTCCCTCTTCTTTGTGGCAGCCCCTGAGATATTGGAACACTGCTATCATGTCCCCTCTCGTCCTTCTCTTCGTTAAACTAGACATACCCAATTCCATCAACCTTTCCTTATATGTTTTAACCTCCAGTCCCCTAATCATCTTTGTTGCTCTTCTCTGTACTCTTTCTAGAATCTCAACATCTTTTTTACATCGTGGTGACCAAAACTGGATGCAGTATTCCAAGTGTGGCCTTACCAAGGCATTGTAGAGTGGTATTAATACTTCACGTGATCTTGATTCTATCCCTCTGTTAATTCAGCCCAGCACTGTGTTGGCTTTTTTTGCAGCTGCAGCACACTGCCAAAAAAGCCAACACAGTGCTAGGCTGCATTAACAGAGGGATAGAATTAAGATCACACGAAGTATTAATTTCTCTTTGGTAGGAGCCTTGCTTAGCATTTTCTTTTGGAATTTTTTTATTTAAGTGGACCGCTAGCCTTTCCATTGTTTCTCTGATAGGCACCTGTGACCTTCGTTGCAAACACACTTCAGAAAGCTCTGTTCTCTAACTGCCTTACCTCTAAACCCCCCTGAGAAATGAAGTAGATTTGATGCTAAGTGAATCATTAGAAACTAAACCACTGTTTGTTTTAGTCAATAAGTATGAAGGTTATTTTCAATGGGACAACAGTACATATGGAGGGCAGGTTTAACTGTAATCCCGATGGAAATTTCTCTACAATATGCTGCGGATGGTTTTGAGCTAAAATAAATAAAATAAACAAAACTCCTTAGCAGAAACAAAATCTTTTTTTTTCAAAAAAAAAAACATTGCAGTGGATGTGTGCACGGAGGAGGGGGCTAGGGCCTAGGGATGGAAATTTCAATAATTTTCTCTTGGATTTATCCCTGAAGAATATCATTCCCCATCTCTATTACATTTATTTTAAAACCCTGATCTATTTCAGTGATGTAGTTAGTGCCATATCAAATTTGGCTCTTAGCCAGAACTTCCCAAAGCATTACTAATGTCATCCTCAAAGAATATCACAAAATTACTCTTTCTTAGAGCCACTTTGCATGGCTAGATGGTTACACCCTGCCTATCCCTTCTCCTCAATTTGCTCCTGATTTACATGCAGAGAGGTTTCTAATGTGCCGAGAACTGTTCAAAGATGAATCTGGTCCTTCACTTTAATATGCTGTAACTCTTAGGCCTTTTTGTTTTGAAAAGTTTGTTATGCTTTAAGAAAGAAAACATTGGAAAAACAACAACACAATATAATATTATCTAGGATGACATATTACATATATAAAGAAATTTACTCAGCCTGACTTTTTCTGTAGTCATTTATCTGAAAACACAAAATTTGGAATAGACAGAAAGAAGTTGCCTGGCACTGCAGCCTTCCATCTTAAACCCTCCAAATAATTTGAAAAGGATTTATCCTGTGATTAAAGCTAATCTACCTATCTGGTAAACAGAGCTTAGGCACTTTATGAAGCTCCGGGGATAGATTTTGATTAAGCGTACATTCTTTTTTTAACTGTGTTCTATCCTTAATCGGGCTTCTGGATAAGTTAAAAATTAGATGAAAGTTTACCTGTTTCTGAAGAAATGTTCACCTCGACACTCAGGTCAGGGATGGGTGCTCCTTGGAAAGATGCCACACACAGGTATGTACCATAATCAGTGAAACGGAGATCAATTATCTCTAGGCTGCTTGTCACGGGGGGAAGTTCCGGGTCATTCTTGATGACAACTACCCGATCTGAGAATTTGGCCAGCTTCCCATTCTTGTACCAGAAGTAGAAAACTTTTTCTTGGGGGACAGCATCCACATGGCATGAGAGCTTCAGGTCCTGCCCTAGCTGGATGGTTTCACTCTCTTTGATGACATCAGGAGTGATCTGGAATGTTACATTCTTCATGGCTGGAGGAAATACAAAGGCCAAACTGGTGAATATATCAATGCCTGATCTTCAAGTGGTCAAAATATGTCATATCATGTCATGTTGTGTCATGTCATGTCCTGATTGACAGGGCATAGAAATCTGAGTAATTATGTAGCACAAAAAGTACACCAATATAATTCACATTCTTATCAACAGAATTTAACATTCTGTTTAATAGCATCTCCTTTTCATAGGCAGAAATAATTCTGGAAAGTTATTTTCACTGAGTCTATGATGCAGGGGGAACTGAATATCCTCCCCCTGCTTGCTATAATTTCATTTTTGATAGGACAGGGATACAAACGTGATTTTTGAACAGGCTACCTTATACTTGTATGCAAATATAATATAATGCAAATATAATGTATTAATTTGACCCTCAATAAATGGAATGTGGCAAGAGAAGTTGCTTTGACAGAAATGACTAAAGAAATGAGGAGAAAAACAAGGAGAGAGGAAAGAGTTTTAAAGTACATGAGAAAACTTATTTGTTTGCATCCATCTCCTATCAACCCCCCCCTCCTTTCAATGTAACTTAGTGTGAAGCAATATGTGTGTGTGGGTATACACACTTACGTGTTGAAAACAAATCTGAAAATTACGAGAAAAGGAAGCAATGCAATGTAAAATCAAGCTTGGTTAATACTCTTTCTGTCCTGAAGTACCAGTCTTAAATTTATTCCAATCTTTAAAAGGAACAAAGTGAGCTGGAAATTCAGGCTCCATCCCCAGTTAGATTAATAGAAAGACGTACATCGCACCAATAGGTTCACTGTCTTCTTGGCTGGATTCCCAACATTGTTGATGGCTGTACAGTTGTAATAACCTGAATCTTCGGTTTGAATGCCCCAGATGGTAAGGTTGCCCCCTTGAATCAGGCTGTTCAGAGGCATAGGACCAGGTGAGTGAGACCAGACTACCTGAGGCAAAGGATCCCCGCCTGTTAACGAACAGTATATGGTAACATTATCCCCTGGATTTACCACTAAAGTCTCATTCACAGATAGTTTTAGAGCTGGTGGAGCTATAAGAGAGAGAGAGAGAAAGAAAAAGAGATTTTTTTAAAAAAGACATAAAAATTCATTTCTAGGAAATATGAATTAGCACATTTTGCAATATATACAAGAAAGCCTGATGAACTTAGATTTTTTTTTAAAAAAATGCATACCATGCTTGTAATCCGGTCAGATGATAACTCTTAAATGTCTGAAACTAGGAGCCCAGTCAGTTTCAAAAACATACAGATGAAAACTGGAGGCATACAACAGTGCTATGCTGAAAAAGATAAGTTTGTGCTTTGCTGATCAGTTTGGCAAATTATACTAGGAAAGAAGAGAACGTCTCTCTCTCTCTGAACTCCACTTTTTGCCAATGCCAACTCCTGGTTTTTCAAATATTGTTATATGGCAATTTACATCAATCCCATCCAATTATTTGATTTTTTTTCCTCACTGCATAACTGAATTGTTGCTTTATAGGCTTCAGATCTCTCTAATATTGTTAAATTGTTGCTGGGATGTAGATCAATAATTTACGGTCCGTTTTCCTTAAATGTATGATATATATCACCACTGTTAAAACGTGTTAGAGTTTACAGTCCTATAATTTGGTGCCTTCAGGGCTACGACACCTATCATCCTCCATCAACAAGGCTATTTACACCGCGTCAGATTAGGGACACCCATAAAGCTTACACTACCTTTCGGCAGAGATATGAGACTCATGTAGACTTGATGCCATTTCTTGCACTGGAGTTATAAACATGTGCATCTTCAAAATGTGACACAAAGAATAATTAGAAGTTCCCAATCACAATTTGTGATGAAACCCTCTTTTCCAAATTCCCTGCACCTCAAGGGCATAGCAAAAAGTCTTCCTTGAGGATTTAATTACAAGTAGCTTCACATTATAGCAATGGAAGAACAGAACACATTTAACTTGTTAATATCTTCCCCCACGTGCCATGCCTGGCCTCCTTCTCCTAGCAATTACGGCTAACCTCTCAGAGCTCTTTCTTTAACTGCCATACATATCAAATGCTGGGCTCTAACCTCATTCACAAATCTTTGAGCCTCCCCTTTATGTAAGGAGTCATATTATGAATGGGCAGCTCCTCTGCTTTAGAATGCTTAACCTCAACCCTTCTGATTAATTCCTTTTCTTCAAAATCCCCAGACACAGATCCAAAAGGCTTTTCTCTGTGTTTTCTGTTTAATCTCTCAAAGGCCCTTTAAAGCTCCTTCTCGGGAATCATCAGAGACTTCACATGGAGCTCAGAAATTAACAATCAATGGGACAACGGCTAAGGCATGTTTTAAGTAACAGCTGTAATAATGCAAAATAAGGCATCGTTACATATTCATAAAGCTTGATTTAATGACATCATTATTTCTGCCATCTCTTCTTTCTGGGCCCTGTGTTAATGACCTGGCTTTGCCCTGAATTTCTAATTCAGATGAACAAAAAAACAAGAAGGCTGTTTTCTTAAAGGGGCAAGAAAATACGTATTTCACAACGATTCTGATTTTTCCCACATCCAAACTGATTGGCTTAAACTTGGACACTTTCAAAACTAATATTCCTTTTCTTAATTCCGAAATATATAGACTGACATGAATGAAACACTGGTCAATTATGTCCAATCTGTAAGGGAGAATCAATGTAGTGTAATAGTAAAGTAAAGGTCATGGATTACAGGCAGGAAAACTATGAATTTTAAGCCTGCCAGAAACATGAAAGCCAACTGGGTGACCTTGCCCCCCCTCTTTCTCCCTCCCTTCCTCCCTCCCCTCCTCTCTCCCTCCCTCCCAAGAAGATACTGGCCAGTATATTCAGAAAATGTTGCCAAGAAACTGCACCAAGTGACAGGTGACTCAACAACAATGACAAGTACTCTGATGACTTGAGTTTTGACTTCAAGGTAGGATAGTAAGGCTGGATGGCAACATGAACTGAATCTAACATTCAGGCAAAGAAATTTCAGCTGAAACTCCAAGCTCCAGACAAATTGAGGGGAGACGTGTGGGTGAGTAAACATGAATTTATGGTCAATAGAGCATTTTCCTGACAATGTCTGCATTGCAATAAGTGGCAAGTGGATGACCATCGGTCACCAGTATATGCTCATGCTGATTTTCCTCACCATAAGCTCACAGAATGGGAGGGGGCATTTTGCTGAGCCTCAACTAGGCCTAATCTAGCACTGGGATATGTGGAGAAACTGAATTCCAAAATGTGGTTAGAAGTGAAATATGACTGGGAGTTTATTAATGTCTGGCTTGCCAATACAAATACTTCATTTGGCCTTCCAATTAAAGGGCTGATGCTTTACTCTTATTTTGGGTTTCAGAAAGATTGTAAGTCTTGATGAAAGTAAAACCCGTATGATAGCAGTTTTATGATAGATGGGCTGCACAATATTTAATCACATGCTGCTGAAGCTCAAATCAGGTACACTATTTTGCATTGTGTAAACATAAGCAGTATGTCAATGTTAGAAGACATCATAATACTTCTCTGCACCGTTCAGAAAACATCTGGTAATGCGTATTTGTGCTATTATTCCATTTATTCTTCCAGTAGAATTTGGAAGTGAATGCAAATTTATAGATGTTATATCATATCACACAGACATTCCTAATTAGTACCACACAGTTTAAAAAGGATTTTTTTAAAAAATATGAATAACTTATAAAACTACAAGGATGCTAAAAAATATTTTTTTTCTGAATAATCTGAAGAAGCTGGATTTTCTTTGCCTAAGTGAAAAAAAAAGATGATTACAGGGGTCTTTATCACCCCTGAGGTTAGATTTTGATATTGCAGTAAACAGTAATATACATTTTTGAAGTTTTTTTCTTCTTATTATTTTCATATATTAATCTTTAAAGTGCAGAAGTATTTGGGGTCCAATTACTTAAAAGAACCATCTCCTTCCACATAGGTTTACCAGTACCATAATGTTTGAGCTGGGTGGCCTTATCAATCTTGATAAGAAATAATACATAAATAAATTCAAATTTCATCTTCGAAGAAGCTTCTCTAGGAGTCTCCACCAAATGATGTATCATAGAAGTTTAGTAGGAATGAGACTTACTAGTTGTAGCAATCTAAATGCCTACAGATATACTCAGTCATCCAGGTCATGGTTGTCCTAAAGTTACTTTTTCCAAAAAAACCACTGGACTTTCTTGGATTTTTTTTTTGCTTTGAAAACATTTCACTTCTAATCCAAGAAGCTTCATCAGTTCTAACTGACTGGTGGGAATAGAAGGATTTATGTTCTTTGCAGTCATCTGGTCTGAAAGCTGGTCATTAGCTCTCTGAAAGTTGTTGAGGTCACTTGGGGGTTTATCTGTATCGTCAGAGACATCTGAATCAGAGTGTAAACAGGTGTAGAACCTTCCACTGAAAGGAATGTGTTGTAAACAAGAAATAGGTGGTGTGGTATCCCTCCCTCTCTGTTGAGGGAAAGCTGTTCAATTTTAACATAGATGGCCTCTTTGATTTCCCTTTCAGGTCAGTGGTCTTTTCTATCTAGAATGTCAACTTTGCTGTCTTATGAAGCACCCTTCCCTGAGGACACCACCTTCAATATCTAACTTTTAGGGTTTTAGATTAAAAAAAGTTTTAATTTCACTTTTAAATCTAAAGTTACACCACCTAGCATGTTTTAAATTTTAAAATGCATGAAAGCTGCACGGCACTTTCAAGGTTTATCCTCCAATTTTGGGGTTTTTTTTAAAAAAGCTATTACTTTTTTACTGTATTTTTGAATTGGAAAAGACCAATGAATCCTTTTAAAGTGATGGCATATGAATGCAGTGCATCAAATGGAAAATTTAGAGAGGAAATACTGGAATGGTGCCACAAATTGGACTTTATATTATTTTATTGGTCTTCAGCATCTGGAAAAACGTGAAATGTTATTTCTCCTGCTTTTAATGGGAAGTCTAGATTTCTTGATTTACCATTTTCAATAAAATAATTACACGGATGAAGAATGAAGAACAATATGGAATAGGATGCAGTTTACGACCTAAAATGAAAGCTGTTGATTTTTGACCTGAAGAAATGCAAATAAAGCATTTTTTTTACCCTAACGTCCTGAAGCACTGGTTAGGCAACCATTCAACATTATGTATTTTATGTCACTTTCCCAGACTTAATAGCTAAAACCCTGTGTAGCAACATTTTGTTTTCCATTATGTCAAAAAATTTGACCTAACGAGGCTTGTTTATATGTGTAACTGGGCCAAAAGGAACCCATAAATCAGTTCCCTGCACCTTGTAAAAGTGCCGGCAGCCTCTCTCCAGACTCCTGAGTTCTGACTAGATAACACAAAATCCAAGTTCAGCTGTGGGTCCACCCTGGATCGCATCCTCTTGCTGTTAACAGATGGAGACTAACAACATGCAGCCATTCTTATGCAGGAGATCACTCTAATTTATTTGCAACCTGTAGCAATTACTTTTGTTCTCTCTTTCTCTCTCTCTCTCTCTCTCTCTCCCCCATTCCCTCTCTCTCTCTCATTCTCTCCCCCTTCCCTCTCTCTCAAAAACAACCCTCACACATCTTGCTGGCAAAGTGAGTTGAGGAACAAAGAGAGGAGAGAAGCAATAAAAACAAAGAGTCACTTTCAATTCTCTTTGAAGTCCAATTTGCTGCAGTATAATTGCAGGAGAGTTCTCCTTTCTTGTGCTTTAGCTGTGTTGAAATCAAGGCAGAGAAAAATAATCCTTTTCTCACCCTGGCTCTGCCCTGCCCTGCCCTGCCCAGCCCCTGTCCTGACCGTGGGCTGCCAAACCTCTGGACTTCCTAATTGTAAAACCATTAACAGTAGAATAGTACGGAAGAACTGGGCACACATGCAAAATCACAATGGTTTCTTGCATTCGCATTTCGGAATCTGAAAAGCAGCAAAGAGTGATACTTCAACACAATCCAAAGCTATGGCTTGAGATATGATTCTAAGGCTTTGATGCATTAAAGTACAGAACAAGGGGAAAGCACCTATTCTAGCTGAATTTAACTGGCACAACAAGATTTCTGCAGAGGCATTCTGTCTGAATTGCAAAGGAGTTCATCTATTCTGTCACCTCAAAACAAGATAACTAGCAATAAGACCATTTGTTCAGGCTGCATTTACTAGTCTAAGAAAATAGTTGGAGAGTCAATGTGGTGTAGAGCAGCCTTTGCAGCTTGGAGTCCCAGCTGGGCATGGGAGTGGAGAGGGGAACCGGGCTGCATGAGCAGAGGGCCAGCATGCACATGCACGCTCAGCTCAACTCATGCAAGTGGTGGGCCAACACACATGTGCATGCACATGCAGCTCACCTGCACGTTGAGCTGTGTGCACGTGCGCGCCGGCCCACCGCTCATATGACCCAGTTCTGAACAGGCCACGGCTTGGTAGTGGGCTGCGATTTGGGGATTGGGGACCCTGGTTTTCGAGGTAGTCCTCAATGCATAATCATAATTGGGACTGGAAATTCTGTGAATAAGCCATCTAGTCATTAAGTGAGCTGTGACGGATTTTATGACCTTTTTGCCATAATATTTGCCATGTCTGTTAAGCAAATCACATGGTTGTTAAGTGAAACCAGCTTCCTCATTGACTTTACTTGCCAGAAGTCAGCTGGGATGGTCACAAATGGTGAGCATGTGACCCTGGGACTCTGCCGCGGTCGTAAATATATGCCAAGTGCCAAGTGCCCAAATTGTGATCACATAACCATGGGGAGGCAGTTGCAAGTGCAAGTGGTCAAAAGAAACATTTTTCAGTGCTGTTGTAACTTTGGACGGTTGCTAAATGAATGATCATAAAAGGAGGAATATCTGTAATGTATTGAATTAAGATCAGAAAGTCCATTTTTAAGTCATCTTCAGTAATAGGAGAAGATTGTATGGGTTGCATCAGAGAAGTACAGTTGTGGTACCAGATTTTTATGCTTTGGGTTTTTTTTTTGTTTCTTGCTTTTATTGTACGTATAGTTGTTTATTCTTGTTTGTAAGCCACCCAAAGTTTGGTTTAAATTGGGTGGCTATACAAATGTTTTAGATAAATAAATAAAGACAGCTCACTAGAATGATTGATTGATTTTGGACTAGTCATTCTCTTAGCCTGAATTATCTCACAGGGTTATTGCTGTGGGGAACAAATGAAGGATTTATGTGATTTTCCACTGCCATTCTTACCCTCTTTCCTATTTATTAAGAGCCCTAAGAACATGGTCAATGTGGCCTTCTGGTGTATTCAATAGAACCAATACTTTTATCCATATCTTGAATAGAATTAGCCAAAGCTAATGACCACATTGGTCAACAGCACACCTGAATTAACCAAATACACAAAGACTGCAACAGCCATGATTATGGATCTCATCGACCTCTGCATATCCACATACCTCCATTTTGATGGACAAACCTACCAACAAATTAAAGGTACACCTATGGAATCACCTCTTTCAGGACTTATAGCAGAAGTTGTTATGCAAAGTCTAGAAGCTATAGCACTTCCACAAATACAACCCAAAATATGGATTAGATATGTAGATGACACCTTCACCATAACAGAAAAAGGTCAATTAGAGAACACCTACAGAACTATCAACAACATCTTCAAAGGAATCCAGTTTAAAAAAGAAGAAGAAAACAACAACTCGTTACGCTTCCTGGACATTCTGATCAGCAGAGACCACAATGGCAAACTAGAAACACAAGTATACAGAAAAACCACATTTCCAGAGCAACAACTCAACCTTCCACAAGAGCAGCTGCATAAAAACTTTACTTAGACAAGCATAAACTCACTGCAGCAACCTTGAACAGCAGAAAAAGGAATCAGAGCATCCATACAACATATTCCAACAAAATGGATATCCATGCAACTTTATCAAAACGTGCCTGACCACTCAATCCAATATAGCACAACCAACACAAGATCCAAAAAGAATAACACTGCCATACATCAAGAACATCTCAGAAACCACCAAAAGACTACTACAACCACATGGAATAAGCTTCGCAAACAAGCCAACTAAAATCTTTCGAAACATTTTAAGTAAACCCAAAACACTAGTAGCCCCAGAATAAAAACAGGAATCGTCTACAACACAACTGCCAAACTTGCCATGTCACGTGACATGTTGTGATGTATCGCGACTCTTTTTGCATTGCCAGCAATGGGGTGGATGCAGCCTCGGTATGATGAAACCAGCCCATGGGCTGGCAGTTTGACACCCCTGGTCTAGAACATACAATGTAATGACTGCAACAGCCACTATGTAGGATAAACAGGCAGAAGACTGGCAGAATACCTCCATGAAGATCAACTAGAAGTCAGAAGACATGATGAAAACTCTTTAATTTTACAACATATTGACAGACTTAACCATAGTTTCAATTGGGAAACTGTGACCATCTTAGACCAAACCAAATCCCAAAATGCTAGACAATTTCTGGAAGCCTGGCATTCTGACAATTTAGTTATCAATAGACACATAGATATAAACAATATCTATATACTATGCAAAAGAGAGAATCAACAAGCCAAAAAGGAACAAAAAGACCAAAACACTTCCCCACCAGTAATCAGCACCCAGATGAGCATAGATTAACTCAAAGATTAACATCAGACCAATAATCAAGTAAACAAAGCCCCAATCAACGAACTGCCAAACAAGCCAACAGTAAGTCCATCTAAAGAATCTCTAAGACCACAAGCACCAACACTGACAGGGCAGGCCACTAGAATATAAACTGAGAGCAAACAGCACTCCTTACTAGCACTGATAATGTTACCTAGTTTGAGAGCAACAAGGACCTCTCATTTCAACCCTGAGCTATAAATATTTTCCTTTACTGAGGGCAAATCTCACTCCTTACTAGAACTGCTGATGTTACCAGTTTGGATAATGAAATGTCTACAAGAAAACAACCAAGTTCACAGAGCACTAAAAACCCCTCATTTCAACCCTGAGCTACAAATATTCTCCTTTATTTTTCAATACGCTTGCGTTGGCTTTTCTATCTTTCCACACCTTAATGAAGCGTGCAAACCAGTATCTGCATTTCCTGTGTCGGATGAGGAGAGCACATCTCTCTCCTTCTGTCCTGGCCACTTTTTACAGAGGCACGATTGAGAGCATTTTAACAAACTGCATCACTGTCTGGTTTGGTGGCAGCAGTGCCTCAGATAGAAGGTAAGGACAGAGATTGGTAAGGACAACTGATAAGATCATAGGAAGCTCACTCCCTGGTATTCAGGATGCTGCTTATAAGCCCTATGTGCTTAGAACTCAAAGCATTGTTAGAGACCCCACACACCCACTTTATGGTCTGTTTCTGTTACTTCCTTCTGGGAGGGGGTTTCAAAGTATTTCTAGCAGGACTACCCAATTCTGTAATAGTTTTGTTCCCTATGCCATCCATCTGGTAAACTCACAAACTCCTAAAACCTGATGCCAATAACTTCATCCCCAAAGGTCATATGTCACTGAAAGAACACATACTCTGCATGCAAAAGGCCCTTGGTCTCAATCTACACATTGCATGCTATATTTCAAAATGCATTCAGAGACAGTGGAAATTCAGCATAGGCCAAAGGCTGGCTCTCAGATGAAGTTAAGTTTTCCTATGAACAACTTTGTTGTTAGAATAATGCTCAGAGAAAAGGTGGAGCATGTTTTGTTTTTCAGGTGTTGCTGAACTGCAGCTCTCACCATCCAACACAATGACAACACTGGCTAGAATTGCTGGGAGTTGTAGTTCAACATCTGGAACATCTTGTTTATATCAAGCAGATAGCTTTTCCTGTCTTCTTCCAAACAAAGGAATGTCTGCTCCCAAGATGGCACTAGCTACCCTATTATCTTCTCAGCACACTGATTTCAAAAGACTGCAGACTACAAAGCTGGAAATGTCCTCTGTTGAGGGTCACACTGATGCACTTCAAAAAAAAATGTATCAAAACATGTTTAAAACAAACATTTTGGAGAGGTATCTTTGAATGGTATCTCAAGAGAAAGTATATTTGAAAATAAAGCCTGAAAGCATTTTGGGGGTTGATTTTTAAAACATCACAGGATAACAAGGAAGCAAGTCAGAACACAAAATGACCTGGATCCGAAACGGAGACGGGTACTGTTCGATCTAAAACTAGAGCTTCTTCTGTTATAAGATTTTTTATCCTCAAAACTTTATTTTTTAAAAAACATGTTTCCATAAGTCCAAATATAGGGGAATATTAGAAATTAAGTTGGAATTAGACATCCATGTATAGTTTTTAAAAGGGAAAGGTGGACAATTATTAACTTGTGGACCACACAGGGATCCCTAGCATTTATTTATCCATTTCATATGGCCACCCATCTCAACAAGTGGGCAGTGAACAGAATTCAAACAAAATAAAAACAATAACAAATATAAAAGTTAAAAATACAGGCAGCTGAGAAACACCATCACCACCACAAACAAAATTAAGAACCAAGTACTTAATACCGAAACCCTCCAAACCCTCCAAAACAACACTACATTGCACCATTAAAATCTCGCAAAACCGTCCCCCCTCCACAATGTGGACTCCTACAGCCTTCAGCAACAGGAATTGGAGGAAACAGTAGTAATTATGATAATGCCCCCCTTCCTCCAAATCATTTTCATCTACTTAGAAAGATCCCCAGGAAATCTGAGGTCCTTCTGATCAAACATCCCTCAACTTCTTTTGCCATCATTAATCTCTTGAAGAAAGAAAACCTTAAAAGGGCTTCCCCTGTTGATCTCAATGGATGGGAGTGACTTACCAGTTGTGTTGGTAAGCTCGAATGTGACTGTCTTATCAGGGATGCCACACACATTTCTGACAGATACCTGGCATGTATAACTGGCATAGTCGTGGGGTCGTAGATTTTTCAGTTTCAGAACTTTTGTTTCCCCCTGTTTGAAAAGAAACAGATAAGAGAAGTTAAGTGAACTATTAGTGTACACTAGCCTGTGAAGTGAACTGAAAACCTCACATATGGTTCCAGTGCTGCCAAATTCCTTTCAAGTAATTGTATCAGATTTACTTGCCTCAGGTTACAGATACCATTTGGGGTGGGTTGGTGGAGGTGGAGAGAATGGACTAAAATATAGCCTAGTGAAAGAATAAGAAAGCAAAGGGTCTGTAGGTACCAATAGAGTCAGAAACTCCTTCTTGGTGTCTATCTTGCCCCATTTAATAGCAGTAGCACTTAGACGTATATACCATCTCATAGTACTTTATAGCATTCTCTGGGTGGTTTACAGTGTCAGCATATTGTCCTCAACAATCTGGGTTCTCATTTTACTGACTTCGGAAGGATGGAAGACTGAATCAAACTTGAGCCCCATCTGAATAGAACTCCTGGCTGTGGGCAGAGTTAGCCTGCAATACTGTGTTTTAACTACTGTGCCACTACAGTTCATTAACTTTTTTTTTTTAATGAAAATTACCATCATGCAAAGCACAGCACTGGCATCCAACATCACTTTTATTTACAACAATCTTTCTCAGCCTCTTATAAGTTTAATAGACATTCTTAGAAAATAAACATGAGGAATAGCTTTGTTGGGAAAAAAGAGGCAATACTAAAGTGAGCTGCTAGAGGGCAGCCCCCTAAGAGCTTATTTTTTTTAATCAATGTGATCAGTTTGTAAATTGGGTGTGCCCCCATTACAATCACTATGTGAATGTGTTAGCTGTCTCTAGGATGGATAGCTGCCCATGAGATGATCTCAGGATTCTGTGCTAAACTAATCCTGCTATAATGGAAGCAAGAATAATAGGAATTAAGCATTGCTAAGGCTTCTAGCAATAGGACTGACAGCGTTGTCTGCCATATCTCTATTTGGCTGTTTTTATGCTTAATTACAATTCAGTATCTGAGAAGGGTGCTGATAAGTTTTTGGCATAAATCTTTGGGCAACATTATCTTGTTTTGAGGTATTTTGCAATACAGTAGTACAAGGGTAACTTTATTTGAATGAACAATGAAGGTCATTATCTTTGAAAAGATCGTGGAGGTGAAAAAAATCACCATGTTGTTGGCAAAAATTCACTCCATTATTCTTTTTATAGGGGAATCATACTAATCTATGGGAGCAAAATATCTGAAGATGTCTAGTAGTAATGAATATGATCACTGATTGCACTGATTGTATTTTATCATGTAGACCTATGGAAATGAATATCAAAGTCATGATGGAATTGGATGACACGTTCATTTCCATCGATCCAATAGTTCCACCCCATCATCAACCTCAGATCAGAGCTCTAGGGAATATGTCCACTTCCTTGATGACATCATAAAACAACACATATACAAAGACATTACAGATAAGCCTTGACTATGATTGGTCACTTAGTGACTGTTTAAATTACAACACCTGCCCAAAAGCTATTTATGATCTAATGTTTGAAGTTACAATGGCTACTCCCACGATTCCATTTTGGGACCTTGGCAACCAGCTTATCTTGATAGCAGTTTGCAGTGTCCCACAGTCATGTGACCACAATTTGTGATATTTTTTTTTGCAGGTTTCTGGCATCCGTTTCTATATATTTTTTTTAGCAAAAAACATCCCTTGGAGAAAACTGATTTGCTTAACTACCATTATCAAAAATTGGATCTGGTTGTGTGATGTCTCAACTTACATGAATTACAACTGTAATTCCAGGCTCAATTGCAGTCGTAAGTCAGGGACTACCTATATATAGGAAACCTACAGATCACCGTGCACACACCCTCCTCCATCTAGAATGTGCACCAAGTCTATCATTTATAGCCAAGCTCTACACTACAACTACATTTGTTTCGACTCATTTGACAGGGATGTTCAAATGATGGAATTAAACCATTTAGGGACTGCATTACCAACCAGAAAGATCAATAGACAAGTCAATAGAATCAGATCAATACCCAGAGAGGACCTACTATAAAGCTATAGAAACAGAGCAAGAGAACACCAGTGGGTTGTCACCTACAACCCATAACTCAAACTACTCAAACACATTATTTATAAACTACAGCCAAACTGGACAATGATACTGGGCTTTCTTAGGCACCAGGTGACAAGTCCATACTTTCATACAGATAACTACTCAATCTGAAGTGAATTCTCATAAGCAACACATATCAGTAATGTCCCTCTGGATTCTATGGACAAACTTTACACAAAAAAATAATGAACACAAGTTTGACATCGGAACTCAAAACAAGGACAAAGTAATAACAGCATTTCAACCTGCCAGAACACACTCTATGGCAGACCTCAAAGTGTCTATTTTGGAAAAATTGGACTTCCACAGTACCCTTGAGTGAGAGATTGCAGACCTCATATGTATTAAAAAGTTTCAGGCAATCTGAGAAGGTCTCAACAAACACAATGGCTCTTGAACATATCATAATTGTTAATTTATAATATCTGTGGCACATTAATCTACATTTGCAGAGGCAATCTGTCTTGCCCTCCCTTTCTTCCCCCTCCCTTACTCTATACATTTTAGCCACTCTATAACATTTGATGAAGTTTATGAAAACTTATACCTTTTAATAAAATGTGTTTGAAAAGCTGATACCAGACTCCTGATTTTTTTTTCCCCATTATCCTTAGGGTTCCTAAAAGCAATCTTTTGTTGTAATACCTTCCTGACTTGAGAAATCAAATTGATAGGCTGATAGTAATCATCATGTTTTCAAAGAAAACTCTTGTATTTTTGTTTTGGTTCCAAACAATTTTTTCCTTTTGGTGGTGGTGGTGATGGAGTATGCTTTCACACTGATGATAAAACCAAAACTGCCTTGCTAATACTGCCGGCCCGCGGGCCAGATGTGTCACGAGGAAACCGCGCCCTCCCCATTGCCGGCAATGGGGAAAAAACTCCAATACGTCACGAGACGTCACATGACATCGCGAGTTTGACATGTTTGCTTTAGAGGCTTCATATGCATTCCAATTGGCTCCCTTTGAGTGTTACTTTACAAATTCCTTTGCCTGGTGCAAATTTTGATGTCTTCCTTGAAATCAAAAGAATAAAAGTTATTTTTCAACATCCTTTGACATACTATGTGTGAGAAATACTGTAAACCAAGAGACTGGTGTTCTCAGGTCAGATTTGGAATTTATGCAAAGCATTATGTAATTTATGTAAATGCTGAACAATTGCTTAGCTTCCGGGCCACCAAGTCCCATGCAAAGTGTTTATTACGTTTCAAGAAGGGCAGGAAGAAAGAAGTATGGATCTGAACCATACTGTGTATAAAAGGCACTTACAGCCTCACATTGCCATTGGGCATTCAACTCTTCTGTTGGGTTTCATTCTTGCTTGCAATAAAGATTCTTATTTAGCTAAAGTGTTTCTGAGAGACTTTTGCCAAATCCAAGCCTAGGAAATTAATTCAGCTGTGTAAAGGTCTGTGATTTACTGTTAGGTCCTGGTCAGGAGTGTCTGACATTTTCTTTCTCTCCTCCCCACCCCCAAATTGTATCTTCTGTTTTACCTTGAGCTTTTGTGAAATCCCTTTTGATTTGTAACATAATTCACTAGCACAGTCTATTTTCTGCCTTCACTCTACTGATTTTGCCAGAATACCTTTATATTAAACCAGTGCAGGTTTCCCTTAGTAATCTGAATGTTACCATTTTATATACATATCTTTCCCTTTTGATTTTCAAATTATTAAAACATGCCTCCTCCCCCCAAAAAAGTGACCCGAAGTGAGGTGCAATTTTTCTTTTTTCTCCCCCCCCCTTTTTTTTGCCAATTGATAGAACATTACTTTTTGAAACTGTATTTCCTGGTACAAAGGTGACGTAGAACTTGATTCTCTCATTCATCTACTCTATCTATCTCATTCATCTCAGATGAAGCTATTTGTGGACAGATGGGTTGCAGAAAGCTGCAAGGCCAGGAAAAAAAACAAAACAGCTAAACTGACTTGTTTAAAAAAAATAGCAAGAGGCCACAGATTTAATCTTAGACTGAATATAGACAGAACAAGATTTGACGACTCAAGGTAGAATTTCTCTTGGAGAACTTGGTGTTTATAGTTTTCTAATTCTCAACAGTAAATATGTTTATCTAACCTTCTTGTGTCTGCTTAAGAATACAGAGGAAGAGATTTTCAGGGAAGAAATGGCATGCTGAAGACAGTTCCATGAAAAGCAGAACCAGTGACTGTGGTGGAATGAAGAGCCCGGCCATTAGACCTCCTCTTGGATAATTCCTCTCTGGACAAGAAGAGCACTTGAGATTGCCCAAAAGTGCCACAGACAGTTGCTCCTCACACAGAGATTGCAACAATCTCTGGTAGGTTCCCCTGATGAGGGAATAGCCATCTTGCTCAAACTGGGAACAGCACTTTTGAAAAGACACTTTTGCATGTTTCATTTTCTAATCACTTTTGCTTGTTAATTGCTTTTCAGCCATTAGGAACCTTTGGATTGACATGTTTTATAGCACTGGGGAGTTTCCTTTAATCCTTAGCAAAAGAAATTTTGAATATAAGTTTAAAGACTTAAAAAAATATTTTGAAATAAGCAATATGATGGTTTAGGATAATTACAAATAGACCAAGGACCCAGATGAATTTGAAATAAGATTTTGGAATTAAATATAAAGAATGCTTCTCATGGAAAAATGCTTTGATTTTGAATTCTTAAGAAAATAAGACTTTAAAATGGTCACTAGAGGAAACTAGAAAAAACTAAAGATTACAATTAAAGGAAGAGAACACTCAAACTTGACTTACAAGTACAGAATGAGACAAATATTGAACATTGCACATATTGAAGGAAATTTATGAGCAATAGAGCTAGAAGTTAATTTTAAGCATGCTTGACACTATTGATAGATTGTGTTTAAAAGATGTAGTGGAAGAGAAACAAGTTTTACCTGACAAGATTGAGACTGACTGAAAGTAGATTTAAAAATGACAGGCTACAAGAATGACATGGAAACAGATGTTACATGAGCCGCACAAAAGAAATGGGCTAATGTCTTCATAATTAAAAGGGATATGCAGATAATTAATCCAGAAAGAGACCCAGATTATCTTCCTATATTGGATTTACCTGTAAATTACTTTATTGTGGTCATTAACCAACACACGAGAATTTATATTCTTAAAAGCCTCCAGTGGGCAACCATTTGTCTGAAATGATATAGGGTTTCCTGTCTGAGCAGTGGGTTGGACTAGAAGATCTCCAAGGTCCCTTCCAACTCTGTTATTCAGTTATTCTGGTTGCTATTCTGTTCTGATAATAACATTTAGAACCTCCCTGTCAAATACTGATTTATGTATGGTTTATTGATTTATTTATTTATTGATCAATAAACGTGGGATAAATGTGTAACCAGCAGGTCTGTACAAAGGTCTGTACAAAGCTTAAAACTGTAAGTTTACAATTTATCTGTTGATGTAGTCAACTGTCCCTAAGCTTCTTCTAAAGACTAATGTAGGTAAGCCACAATTCTGAGAAAACAGAAAGCACACACAGGAGTGAAATATCATGCATCCAAACAAACTGTTCTCTCTCTTTTTAGCAATATCATGATATACTATAGACAAGAAACTGTTGTCTCAGATCTGCTTCCTCTCTCAGCTGCCCAGTTTTGGCTTGTCAAAGGAATGTAATAGGTGTTAGCCTATCACCGGCATATAAAATGATTACGACTGTAGGCTAGAAAATAACAACAACAAATTCACTCCAACTCATTCTGCAAGTAGCATCAGGCAAACTATTTGTAGAGCTGCAATTTTTGGTAGCATGCCAGCTATTAAGCTTTTTCCAATGATAAAATATCTCTCCCTTTCAGAAAGATCATTTTAAGAGATAGTGTGATATAATGGTTAGGTTGCTGAAAAGGGGCAGATTTAGGATCCAGTCTCTGTGGGCAGTTTGAGCCAGTCAGGATCTCTCAGTTGAACTTTCTCATGGGATTGTTCTGAGGATAGAAGTGAAAGAAGCATATTATATATGCTGTCTAGAGGAATGATAGGATGGGCATCTAATAGATAAGAAAAAAAAATATTTCCTTCCGGCAACCAATCAATAAAATCCTTAAGGACAAAATAATTCAAGCAGGAAGCAGATGCAAGGCAGAAAAGCAGGTGCAAAGTAGACAATTGTGCCAACTACAATGTTACAACCATAAGGGACTGGGATTTCTAGTTTCATGTAAAGCAACAGCTCCCTTTACAGTTAGTCCTGCCAGGAATCATAGTTCCCTCTCTGACCATTAGTAGAAATCACTAAAATAGGCAGAAAAGTTAAACAACGTTATTGAGAAGGGACACAGAATGCAATCTATGGAACAAATTTCTTACTAACCATAGAGTTTTCCTATAGAGCAGCCACACATGCCTCTAGCATACATATAGACCAGGGTTCTTCAAACTTGGCCCTTTTATGACTTGTGGACTTCAACTCCCAGAATTCCTCAGCCAGGCATGCTGGCTGAGGAATTCTGGGAGTTGAAGTCCACAAGTCATAAAAGGACCAAGTTTGAAGAACCCTGATATAGACCTTGACTTATGACCTCAACTGGGATCAGAATTTCCCTTGCTAAGCAAAGCGGTAGTTAAGTAAGTTACTGTATGTGCAATCTTATGACTTTTTGGTATGGTTGTAAACTGAATTACTGCAGTTGTTAAATCAGTGATGTGGTTATTAAGCAAATGTGGCTTCCCTTATTGACTTAGATTGTTGGAAGCTGGCTGGGAAGGCCACAAATAGGGTTCATATGACCCTAAGATGCTGCATGTTGTAAATACATGCTGGTTGTCAAACACCCAAATGTTAATCACATGACCATGGGGATACTGCAATGGTTGTAAGTGCAAGGTCCGGTCATAAGTCATCTTTTTCAGTGCTATTGTAACTTTGAACCATTCCTAAATTAATGGTTATAGGTTGAAGGCTGCTTGTATTTGCATCTATCATGATAAATCAATTAAAGCTTCAGATTTCATAAATCAAAGGAAAAAATGAATAGGAAAATTGTTATGCCCATTCCTTTCCACCTAAAGAACCGTGGCAGGAATTCATAGGTCTCCCCTGTCCTCAGGCTTTACTTTATTTTCATCTAAGAAACATCTTTCTTCCACAAAGCACGACACATAACTTCCCTTTTTGAATACTGTTCTGGAAATACAAAAGTCTTTTCAGTAGTTCATGGATCTCTTCTCTTCAATTCCAATATCCCAAGACACTGTATTTCATTTCATAGCATGATTCCCTGCATGCAAGCTTTGGTATGATTTGAATGAGAGTCTGCCTAGGGCAGATATGTCAAACTCGCGACATCACGTGACGCCACTCAACGTATCGGGCCGGTTTTGCCATTGCCGGCAATGGGGTGGGTGTGGCTTCAGTATGATGAAACCGGCCCGCGGGCCGGCAGTTTGACACCCCTGGCCTAGGGCATGCTGCAAAAATCAAATGCAGACAGAATCCAAACAGAGCCCAGCCTGAGGTTAGTAGACAGATGAGCAGAATGCAACCACCTCAACATCATCTGCCCTTCCCTTCCCTTCCTTTCATAAGGACAGCAAAATTAACTATGAGTATGCATATGAAGTGGAGCTGGAGGGTGGTTGGGGGCTAATTTTCAAGGTTGCCTTGAGGAATATAAACTCAATTTCCTAAAACTTCAAAGAAGAAAAATGTTAGCATATGGTTTGAGAAAGTCAGGACATGGGAAAGTTTTGAGAATTTATGAAGGAGAAAAATAAAGAAAAACACATTCATTGTGGAGATTGTTTCTGAATAGTACTTCATCACTAGGTATTTGAACAATCTCAAGAAAAGCCAGTCATCAATTTTAAAAACTGAGGCAAGCATTAATGAAGCATAGACAATCCACTTGGCAGTAGGAGAGGGGAGAATTCAGCTTTCTGCCATAAGATTTCATAGGTTAATCGTATAGTCTGAACAGCTGTGGTTACAAAGGATGAGTGTGGTGTTTTTCCTTAGTACTCAACAAGCTGTTCCTTACCACAAGAAATCTCTTAATTATTTGTTTAGGTACAAGCTTTCATTCCTTAATGAACATAAATAATATAAAGTAACAAAGCAAACTTTTATAGAGGGATAGACAGAAAGACAGATAGGGAGTCTTTGAAATTGATTTTTAGCAATTTGGCAATAGAGCTACATCTAGAATGCTGGGCTGTGAATTTTGAACTTGTACATAGGGATTGCCAAATCCATCCATTTTCTTTCATTCTTTTCTATCTCTCCCATTTATCACATATATTAACTTTCCTGAGTTAATACTTTTCTTGACCTCATTGCCTTCTCCTTAATGTTATACTGTTGTAGTTCTTTCTCCAGCCTTAGAACCTTTTAATTCACTTTTAGGATTTAGTTCAGTTACAGGCCCATACCAAGCATTATTAGCATTATTAGCATACCCAGTTCTATGTAAACAAACACTGAAGTAATCCATCCACGCAGCATCATATAAATAGTTATGTTATCTGAAATACTGCACTACAGGGATCTTAGCTTGATATCATTATAAATCAATCAAAGAAAATGCAGTGACTACTTTATTGCATTAAAAACAATCTTTGTTGGGATTCACCAAAAGTCAGAACCCTGTATAAGAATCTAAGGTGCATTCATAGTGGAAATTCTACATGTAAAGTTGCAGAAAGTGGGGAAAAAAATAATAATTAAAATGATCTATGTCACAGAAACAATCCTCTATTAAAAAATCTTGCATTAGTTTTTAAACAGAAAAAGGTAGAGATATGAAGTAGATAAAAGTGGGCATGATGTAAAGGAAGTTAATATATGTTAGTTTACCCTCCTCTCTCATATTACAACTTGGGATCTTCCAATAAAGCTGAACATTTGGAGATTCAAGATAAAAGATTGTATGTCTTCACACTATGTGCACTTAAACTATTGAACTGGACGTTTTTAAAACAGGATTAGATAAATTCATGGAGATAAGACTCAGTGACTACTATTCTTGAAACCTATATATTGTCACAAGAAAACCCAAGTTCCCCCAAATGTCCAAAAAGTATGTGGAGAAATAACATCTATCTCACCTCTGTGTACAATGGTTCATAGATATCCACTCCATTATCCTGACTATGGGAAAGAGTCTCGGAACCCCTTCTCCAGATGAAGCGAGCAGGTGGATTAGAGCTGACTGTGCATCGAAGGAAGACTGTCTTCTCATGATAAAAACTCCCACGGACATCACTGATAGTTTGATGGACAGTAAGGACGGGCTTGTCCAAATCTGCAAAGAAAAGAAGGAAGGAGGGAATCCACAGAGATTGTTGGTGAGATTTAGGTCAGAATGTACAAAGTCTGTGGATCACCCAATGCTCCAGATATATAGGAAAAGGAAGATAGTTTGGATAACTTCATTCCATCCACCAAGCAAACTAGAAATAGGACCTATAACAAAGTGATACCTCTCTAAACTAAGGCTAGTATCTGCTAAGTATCAGCATAGCAACTGAGCTTTTCTAAAACAGCTAAATGAGGAATAGGATAAATTGCATTTGCCAGATTGATCAGTAAATACTACAAGGACTGCTGTCTGTAAATTATCTGGTCCCAGAAGACTGGAAAGCTCATTTGTCCTGGGGCTAGTGAACATGTCACAGAAGTCCTTTGAATAAATTGTGCATTCTGTTGTCTTTTAGCAAGCCAGATGGCGAAAGAAAACAGGAGATAGACTATTTTTAACTTGGCGTATTGATATTTTAAGCACTATGTCCGGCTTTGTGCCAGTTGATAAAATTCAAGTGCTTTGTATTTTGTCTGTCATTGTGGAGTGGAGATCTTTAATAATGCTTGTGAAAACTTGATGCCAAATCTGGTTGTTTCTGCCTAGCCTGCCAAATGCATCTTTTCATCCCTTTTATTCTACTAATGATACTTTGTAGTTTCTTTAAACTGCAGCTTCTCTAAATTTGAATGGAGTTCTTGCTCCATCAATTGAAGTACTACTACCCCAGAAAGATTAAAGATAAGCTTTAATCTTTCATCTTACATGGTCTCTCAACTAGAAAGGCATTTTAAATCTCAGTTTCTAGCTAACCCAAATTTGCTCATCCTTTTACAAATTTAATATTTTAAATTAGTTTTTTGTATATGGTTTGCAATAATTTGTTTCTACATCTTGGTTAGTGTCATGTTCATGCTAGGCTTGGAGTTGATCTTTATTTAGTACAAAATCAAGAACTTTAAGAGTTATTCTTGAATCACACTATTGAATGTTCCTCCATTCAAAAATTTTCATGCAAACAAAAATTAATCACAATGAAAAGCAATTTGAGCAGGACCTGCTCAAAACCCCACAAGGGTAATATCTTTATTTGCTCAACCAATATTTTATCATCTCTGAAAGTTTTCGTGTTTCTTAAAAATCTTTATCAGCCTCAAGGAATGCAATTTGGATGTTGTTCAATACAGCAGGGTGCAAAATGTTTCTGAATTATAGCAAGGGTTTTTGTAAAGATATAGCTCTCTGAAGATGCTGGCTGTTATTTCATGTAAGAGGCTGAATAATATATATTAGCCACAAATCTCATGTTCATTTTTCTGCTTATTTCACTTCATTAGAACTTTTAAGAAACTTGAAAGCTTGCAGTTAATACTAATATTGCCTCTATAGATTGTTTTTATTTCAGGTTTTTCCTGGCCAACTCATCTATCATTATGAAAAAAGTATAACTCAGTAGTTGGGCATATTCTTTAAATTCAGAAGAGCCAAATTAACTCCTTGCCATCTCCAGATAACACTGAAACTGCTTCCTTATCAGAAAACTTAAAGATACGCTCCCAGTAAACAATATCGTTGGTGAACCAATGACTCAACCTAGTAAAAAGCAGTCTTCTTTGTCTCCAATACTATTTTTACATGGGACAAGATTCAATATTACGAGTCTCTGCTCACTGTGTGAACCAAAATTCTGCAGGTAAGACTCAGTATATAATTCTATTAATGGCACTAATTCAGTACATCATAATAAGACTTCTGTTCCCAAGATACCTTTCAAGATTGAGTAGATTAAAAGAGCAAAGAACCCTTGAATCAAATAATATAATTCCTGCCATCCATTTAGGTTCCCACTTCATTTAATGTTCTGCTAATGAGGAGAGACAGAGCCAAACCAGATTAATGAAAGTTGTCAATGTGCATCATATGTCCCTGCTTTCAGACAGTTGTGTGTGTGTGTATTTGTGCACTCTAGGGTTGGGGAGATGGATAATCATTAAACTCAGTGGAGAAAAAATCCAGATGTACGCTAATGAGGACCAAATGCAGAGCCTTTGTAAAAGAGAAAAGTCCTTGCATATTTGAAACATGTGACCACAGAGCACACGAAAGCTCCTTTTTTCTTCCATAAAGCTCTTATATGCTGTTGAAATTTAAAATATTGATTTAGTTATATATAAGTCTGGAAATCTGGTTTCAAGACAAGATACTACTTTCAACTAAAAGCAAACATTTTCCATTAGACAGGTGCCTAGACCAGTCATTTGCATATTTTAATGAGGCACACATTTTGAAAAGCCAGTATTTGTAATAAAAGTTGAGATTTGTTAGTCTGATAATACTAGAAGTGTATTCAGACACAAGGGCAGATTTTTTTTTTTTTTTTAGCCGAGTAGTGATATTGAAAATGGCAGAGGAAAACATAAAAGAGATGTAGAGCCAGATTAGAGGGACTTCATAAATACTTTGTAAGGAGTTTCAACCAATATATACTAACCTTTATTTCACTACTCCAGTTAATCTAGGCAAACTTCTTTAATGTTACCTTCCTGGATGATTCCTAAATAAGCACCAGGACTCCATTTTCCTTTATAAATCATTTTTGAGTTCCTACAATAACATCTGGATTGTTAGGCACAAAACTATTCATGCCAATGTATACAGAAACTCTTGTTTACATTAATGGGAGAATGGGGTCTTTCTATAGTAGCTAAATATTTATGTTCTTTTCCCAAGTGCTTTGTGATCACATCATTCAAGTGAGAAAATATGGGTCATTGCTATTTGTTTCCTCTGTATTTTGATTTTCCTTTGCAGCAGTTCCTACTTGGATGGGTTTGTTCTTTGCCTTGTTCCTTCCACAAGCTAAAGAAAGAGAAAAAATATCAGTGACAATGAAACAGCTGAAATAGCATCACTGGGCTTTAAACAATTACATGCAAATGGGACAGCAATAAAATTCACCTAATCTAAGTCTCAGTTGTCTGCTGCCTAACTCTCATTCATTTTTGATGCTGTGCGAAGCAGTTATAACAAGGTGACTTACCCTTGGCCATTTCACCTGCAATTTTTTTCTGCCCCAAAATCTCTTAGTGTAATAAGTTCTCACCTGCAGTTCATCCCAGAGACCTTTAATTTCCTATCAGTCTCCAGTGACAGCTCTAATCTCTTACCATACTGCCTTAGAGTATTTTTTTTTGGGGGGGGGGGAAACCTCACTGTGTCAAAGTGAATGATTAAAATAAGTTGAAGTGATTTAAGCTCATCATATTTAAATGTGCAAACTGTGTCACAGGCTCCTTTAATTCAAGTTCATGCCTTTTATTATCTTAAAGCCAATTTCTCCCATCTAGTATTCACTAAGTCTATAGGAACTACAAGCCCCAAAACTCCCTGCCCTGCTCATGTGATGCCACTTTCCTCATCCATAAATAGATAGGTGCCTTGGAGTCAGTGTTGATTTCTGGTGAGTTGCTGTAAAAGCCCTGCAATTTTCTTGGTAAGATTTTGGAAGTGATTTGCTGTTGCCTCCTTTTTAGAGCTGAGAGAGTGATTGGCCCAAGGTCATCCAATTGGCGTTATGCATAAGGGCAGGACTAGAACTCAGTCTCCAATTTTCTAGCCTGATGCTAGTAACTAGTACATCACTACACCAAACTAGCTTTTTCATCCTTTCTTATCATCCTTTCTCATCCTTATTTATCCTGATACCCAAACCAATGCAGCTAGTTGCAAATTCACCAATGGCTCTTCCAATCTAGAGAAATCTGAGTATAAAAATTGCCCTCTTCAAAAACTCTGAAGAAAATCATAATTTTACTGAAGAATGCCATCTTTCTTCCTTGTTTTCCAAGTGGTCTCTGAAAATAATAGAAGAGCCAGGAAGTTTTTCCATGCCTGCAGCAGTTTGTAAGTGTCCCTTCTTTTCAGTTAAGCCTCAACATGTCTCAGCAAAAAAAAAAAAGGAATCATTAAAGTATTAAATCTACTGATGACAATAGAAATGGTGATTATGGAAAGAATTGTACTTATTTTTTTTAAATAATATTTTTAAGTATTGAAAGCACTTCATCTATCCCTAGCTAGATGCACTAATGCCTACAGTAATACAAATTTTAATAAAACTATATCAGAGCTTAATTCAACCCATAGTTATTAGCTTGCCAACTGATACAACCATGTGGGTTGTTTCAATATCAATATAACTTTTAAATGTCCCCACTTTCCATCTGGCTTTCCTATCTCTTCCTCCCAGCATGGAAAAGCTCCAAGGAAAAGCTTCCATGATTAATAACAATATCTGGGGACTTTGTGATAGTGCTGGCAGTTTTCTCGATCTTCAGCAGACCTGTTTTGCTGGCATCAGCTGAAATGTAGCAGCAGTTTGGCTGACTTTCTTCTAAAAGGATTTATATGAAGCTCTGAAACAGGTTTACATGAATGAATGGGTAAAACACGACCTGATGTTTTTCTGAAATCTGAAAGCTGCTTAGGAATTTGGTCGAAAGATTGAGTAATTTCAATTTTTAGTAATCTACTATATTTGTACCGAGGAAATCTCATGAACAAAGGATCATGTTTACAACTGGTCTGAACTTTCCTTGATGGCAGTATAGTCACATCTGGAATCTGTGGCTAGTTCTATACAGGCAGTCCTCGATTTATCACCGCAATTGAGCCCAAAATTTCTATTCCTAAGTGAGACATTTGTTAAGTGAATTTTGCTCCATTGATGAACTTTCTTGCTGCAGTTGTTAATTGAATTACTCCAGTTAGTAGCATGGTTGTTAAGTGAATCCGGCTTCCCCATTGACTTTGCTTGTAAGAAGTTTGCAAAAGGTGATCACATGATCCCGGGACACTGCAACCTTCGTAAACATGAACCAGTTGCCATGCATACAATTTTTTGACCATGTGAACATGTTCAACGGTCATAAGACTGAAAAATGGTCATAAGTCACTTTTTCAGTGCAGTTGTAACTTTGAACGGTCACTAAACGTACCGTTGTACATCGAGGTCTACCTATATTTGCATTTTACTTTCTCCAAGTGTCAGGAATGATTACAACTTGATCTGAGAAACAAGCACACAGACATCACTGCAATTCTGAGCAAACAAATTGTTTCAGATACCATATAATTTTAGGTCAGGGCACAAGTAACTGTAAAATTATCATCAACAGTAAATGAAAGGGAATGTTTATTACATATTAAAGAAAGACAAAGACAATGTCATGAAAGGTGCAGTTAAGGGCAACAGTGGTAAGGATTAACCTAGTCCTTTCCTACTCTTTCATTCATCTATCCATCTAACAAAGAGTTACAAAAAAAGTGCAAATTCTTTTCTGGAACACAGCGCGCGCACACACACACACACACAAAGCAAGAGACGTATTACCAAGTCCATCTGTAGAGTAGATGTTAGTATTGAAAAGCCCTTGGCCACCCAATTTACCCCATAGCTCTAAAGGTCAGAAATATAGGAAGAAGAGCAGGACTCTGCATCAGCTTAGATCCAAGCTCCATCCTAAAAGCAAAGGGAAACTGCACAAGAAATCAATTTCCTTTTGAGATGGGATTTTTTAATAACTCAAGATAAATTATCTATGGTAAATAAATTTACAAAGAAAAGAAAAGCACAGGGAAGCTACATAATAGAGGAGGACAAGAAGAAAAACCTAAACCAGACTTAACAAAATTGGCACAGTCTCTAGCTGTGTTTTAAATGCAATACCCCAAATTTCCAAACAATGAGGACGATGACAAGTTGGTGAGGCTTCTCTTAAATATTTCAAGAAAAGAACATTAATTTCCTAGATAAGATTTTAAAAACTCCTCCGCAGTTGGCACTAAAGGGGCTCCTTATGCTAATGTTTTGTACATATATAATTAAAAATAATATACAGGTAAGGATGGTCTTTTGGGAGGGACAGGGCAGGCTGTGAAGTAACATGCGAAATGTTTTAAGTATATATTGTCACAACATTCTCTTTGGGGAAATGCATTCCAAAACCACTTTTCAATTGCTCTTTGCTAGCTGGCAGAAGGCAACAGTGGTTTCCCTCTTCTAGCAGCCTGGGAGAAAGCAAGATGTGTATTGACTGAAGCAGTGTAAACATTTCAGGAAAACGGGGAAGTGAGGATAATTATATCATTCATGATCAGATATTTGAACAGGTGATTATCAATGTAAGAAAGGTCTTCCAGGATTCAGGCCAGGGCACATTTTCACCAGCACTAATTACCTCTAGAGCAGCCACAGACAGGCATACCGATGTTTTCCCACAATTGCCATTAAGCGAACTGAGTTTTTACTTTTTGAGCTTTGAATTTCATAAATTTATTTAATTTGTCTGATCTCCATGAATGTATCTGATCTCCTGTTAAAGTTATGCAAGTTATCCTTGTAAATCGGTTCTAGTCCTATTCTCTCAAGCAATAGAGAAAGTTCACGCCTTCTTCTGTATGATACGAAGGTTGCAATAATGTCTCTCTCAGCCATCTTATTTGTAGGCTGAACATACCCAGATCCTTTCCATTCCTGACAATCATTCCTGACCAGACTTGATTTTAGACTCTTCACCGTCTTGATAGTCACTCTGCAAAATTTCTCCAGTATGTCACTGTCCCTTTGAAATTGATGTGCCAAGAACTACATACAATTCTACACAAAGATTCATCTAGGCCAGGGGTAGGCAACCTCGGCTCTTTTATGACTCATGGACTTCAACTCTCAGAATTCCTGAGTCAGCTATGCTTTGCTGACTATGCTGACTCAGGAATTCTGGGAGTTGAAGTCCATGAGTCATAAAAGAGCCGAGGTTGCCTACCCTTGATCTAGGCAAAGTACCATGGGAATGAGAGAAACTAGGCTTCGTAGTAGTATATGTGAAATAGTCCTTATCAGCTATAAGTTAAACATGAGCCAGCAACATGATGTTAAAAAGGCAAATGCTATCAGGAGTGCAGAGAATACAGATAGTCCTTGACTTACGACCACAATGGAGCCTAAAATTTCTGTTGCTAAGTGAGACAATTCTTAAGTGAGTTTTGCCTCCTTTTACGACCTTTCTTGCCATAGTTGTTAAGTGAATCATTGCAATTGTTAAGTTAGTAACAGGGCTGTTAAGTGAATCTGGTTTTCCCATTGACTTTGCTTGTCAGAAAGTCGCAAAAGAGGATCAAATGACCCTGGGACAGTGCAGTCATCATAAATATGAGTCAGTTGTCAAGTGTCTGAATTTTGATAACATGACCATGGGGATGCTGCAATGGTCGTAAGTATGAAAAACAGTCATACGTCACTTTTTTCAGTGCAATTGTAACTTGAAATGGTCACTAAATGAACTGCAGTAAGCCAAGGTTTAACTGTAGAACATGGGAAGTAATTTTTCCCACTGTACTCTGCCTAGATGAGACCCTTATGTAGAACTGTATCTAGTTTTGGGCATATCACTTTCAAAGCGACAGTGACATATTGCATACATTTCGAAGAAGGGCTATTAAGATGGTGAAGTGTATAAAATCAAGTCTGGTCAGGAATGTTTGTCAGAAATGGAAAGGATCTGGGTATGTTCAGCCCACAAATAAAATGACACGAGAAAGATGATAGCAATCTTCAAATAGCTGAAGAGCTATCATACAGAAGGAGGAGTGAATTCTCTCTATTGCTTGAGAGAATAGGACTAGAACCAATTTACAATTTTTAAGAAGGGACTAGACATTCACCTGTCTGTGATGGTATAAGTTCTCCTGCTTGAGCAGGGGGTTGGACTAGAAGACTTCCAAGGTCCCTTCCAGCTCTATTCTAGTCTAAAATACAAGGACATCAGGCTAGACTTTAAGAGGAAATTTAATTTTTAAAAGCTATGTGAACCATCAACCAGTGGAAGAGATTGTCACATGAAGAGGTATGCTCTTCACTAGAAATCTTCATGCAGCAATGCTCTAATGGATTCTGCACCAAAGAGCAGATTGGAATTCTATGATTTTATTAAAAGATTAAGATAGCCCCGGGGTTTAATCATTGTGTTCTCATTTTATCCTATCATTTATGTGTTTATTTGTACAACTGGGTGAATCAACACCTTTGTGTAAGGGGTAGAAGGAATAACTTTGAGGAATAGGAGGAAGAACTGCAATCAATACCACAGTGAAATAAAAGAAATCTGGAGCAGATCTGAAACCCAAGTAACTATCCCAGACAAGACCCTCCCGTTTTTCACCAAAGTAAAGGGAAGGAGGGGAAAGTGCATTTGGACTTGCAAGACTGTTGTTACAACCTTATCATAAAACTAGCATTAACTCTGATTTCCTAGTCTGGTCTACCTTGGAGGGTTAATACTTTCCCAGGTAGATGAGTCTCATGTTAGAAGGCAAGTAAAATAGAAGGGCTTTTAGTTTCATGTAAAGGAATCTAATATAGAGTTCATTATTACAATGAAAGATCTATTTTGCACAATACTAAGCTATGGTTTACTATTAGTAGAACAAAGAGAACCCAGTCTCAGGCCTACTCCTTTCTCCTCCTGTGTGGCCAGAGAGAGAGGACATTAAGCCAGACAGGAGTCTGAACCTAGAACACTCTGAATAGTTCCAATGACTGTTCATTAACAGCCCAAGAGCAAATCAAGTTTTAAACAAGACATAGCAATCTAGTGCTCTGCAGATATTTTGAATTCCAATTCCAATAACAGCAATGGCTCTTAGACATATTTACTGCTTCACAGTTCTTTACAGCCTCTCTAAATGGTTTACAGAGACAACATATTGCCCCCAACAATCTGGGTCCTCATTTTACCGACCTTGGAAGGATGGAAGGTTGAGTCAACCTTGAGCCAATGAGAATTGAATTGCTGGCAGTCAGCAAAATTACCCTGCCAAACTGCATTCTAACCATTGTGCAACCATGGCTCAGAAGAAGGGCTTTTCTAATCTAATTCCTGACTACAACCTGAAGCTGAAGTTGTTAACCCAAAATATTTGGTTGGCATCCCTTTGACTTACCTTCTTTTTAACTAGCTAATGTTCCAACTCTCATTAGATGAATTAACATTTAGTTAAATTAAAAGAGGAAGCAGAGGTTCTTGATTTCTGCATGACTACATGACTAGAAGCAAGCAGACTTGCATCTGCCTCCTCATTTAGTGTTAAACCCAGGGTTATATCTGAAATGAGCAAGGAAATCCCATCACTGCACAGCTGATTAAGATTTCTTTTATCCAATCGGGTTTCATCAAACTGCAGCATGCCACTGATTATAGTACACATGTCTTCTTATCTGACCCTAAGTTCATGAGGACTTTTTGTCTAAGACCAGCACTTTCAGAAAAGGGAGCGTGGATAAAACAAGATCTGTCCCTTTGCCTCAGAGGTATGAGAATGAGTCTAGGTCAATGCAGAATTTCACTAGCCAAGCAATCAAGATATACACAGTAGAACTGTGGGAAGTCTTGGATGGCCGCAAAATGACTTACACTGCACATCTACTCGAATGGACTTGATGGCAGGGACCCCAACCCCGTTCTCTGCTTTACAGTAA